GAATGTCCTAAACCCATTATGTGGTGTTTTAGTCAATTTTGTGCTGTTGTAACAAAATTACCCAAGACTGGGTAATTTAAGAAGAACAAAAATGGATTCCTCACATTCTGGAGGCTGAGTCCAAGGTTAAGGCACTGGCAGGCGAGGGTCTGATCTCTGTTTCCAAGATGGCACCTGCGGTTGTGTCCTCTGGAGGGAGGATCACTGTGTCCTCACACAGCAGAAGCTCAAGCTCCCTGAATGCTTCATGAAACCCCTTATAAAAGAACCTTAATCCCATTCACCAGGGAGAAGCCCTCTTGGCCTAATCACTTCTTGAAGTCCCTACCACTAAATACCATCACAATGGCCATTAAGTTTTAATGCCTAAATTTTGGAGGGGACACATTCAAACCACAGTATATGATTAGGCAGAAAAGGCCAGTCAGAGTTTAGGGCCACTATATGGTGTTTTGGAATGATAGGACACCTTACAGACTAGTCTACCTCTCTGAAGTGTTAGGATATGTTTGTTTCATAAAGGAATATCAAACATCCCCACCTCCAACAGCTGTCAAAGCAATACTCTATTTAAAAAGAAATACATGCGGTGTGCTGTTTATTTGAATCTTTGCCTGCAGACGGGCATTAACTCACCACTAGACAGAAATGAACATTCTTCTCTCTACTGGACTGCATTCATTGCTGAAACAATATCAGACACTCCAGTGAGAGATTTATGTGGGCCCTGAATGGGTTAAGAGCTCCAGGCACAATCCTGAGGCACCCTTAGAAACAGATGATCACCTTTCTTTTTCCTTTCTCCCTTAGGCAAATATTAACTCAGCTGGTTCTTAGAATCTTTTTGTGCTTAAGATAAATTAACAAGAACCAAAGAGCCTTTCTCAGGTGTTGGTACCAGGCTAGAGTGCCCTGAAGACAGCAATCCATTTCAATTCCAATATCACTGCCTTTCAGGCCACATGGTGGGAGCCCACAGAGTTTGCCACGGTACTCGGGCCAAGTACCTTGCAGGCTTCTGGAGCTGGGAGCCCCTCACACTTTGAGGCTTTAATATAGATTTCTCTGCCTGCTCACCTGTATATAATTGTGAGGGGCATTAGAGCAAGAAAGAATAATGTGACCTTCAGGGGCTGTGAAAACAATTGTGTCCTCTATGAATTTGTAGGTTGAGTGATGAGGCAAATTAGGGCTTTAGCTTATTCTTCAGGGTGAAGCACCTGAGACCTTGAGTTACCTTGATAATATTTCATCATTATTTCCTAAGACCCACTAAGAGCTCTGCCCTGCCCCTTCTTAATTAAAGAATTCAGAAGTCCTTGAAATAAAATTACGTTCGGGGCTCTCATCTCCTGCCCCAGTTCTGCTCCCCTCCCATCTCAGTGTAGATAAGGATCTAAGACACATCCTAGTCTGACCAAAAGCCAAATAAAAGAATATATGTCACATCCATTTAATGAGTATTTATTGAGCACCTACTAGATATTTGGAGAATTTTGGTAGAGTCCTGTTGCTCTTGGGTCAGGTCCTCGGGACAGTAGGCAAAGCCGGGCAAACCTGAATTTTGTTTCTGATCCAGCTGTGTGACCTGGCTAAATTAATTTCTCAGTTGCTTTATCAGCAGATATGAGATTATAATTTTTTTTATCATTTTAATTGACACATAATAATCGAGCATGTCTATGGGGTACAGAGTGATATTTTAGTACATGTAGTCAATGTGTAATGATCAAATCAAGGTCCTTAGCATATCCATCACCTCAAATATTTATTATTTTGTTGTGTTGGGAACATACAGAATCCTCTTTGAAAATATACAATATTTGAAAATATACAATAATATACAATAAGTAGACGATAAATTATCATTAACTGTAGTCACCTACCCTGCTATAAAACACTGGAATTTACTCTTCCCATCTATCTAGCTGTAATTTGTATCCATTAACTGTCTTTTCCCTATGACCCTTGCCCCTCTACCCTTCCCAGCCTCTAGTGGCTTCTGTTTTACTCTCTACTTCGATGAGAGTAACATTTAAAAATTTCCCATATATGAATGAGGACATGTGGCATTTGTGTTTCTGTTCCTGACTTTTTTCACTTAACGTAATGTCCTCCAGGCTCATCCATGCTGCCGTGAATAACAAGGTTTCATCCTTTTTTTTTATGGCTGTATAGTATCACATTGTGTATATATGCCACATTTTCTTTATCCATTCATCTGCTGATGAACATTTAGGTTGATTCCAGATTATAATGTTTATACTGTGAATCGTACATACTTTATGTACAATGTGTAGCATAGACAATTCCTCATAATAGAAACTCAACAAATGTTGATGCTATATCATTCCCTTTCCTGCTCTCCTTTTCTCCCTCCTCCCCAGGTACAGAGACAACAGAGGTAACTGAAATACAATCCTTGTTCTTGAGGGGCCAATCTAGTGGGGAAATACATTTGTAAGGAGAGATACTCCAATGAAATACGATGCCTTCAGAGGAGAATGCACAACCTGCCATGAGAAACCAGAGGAGCAAGCAGCTGATATTCTAATAAAATTAAAGCTGGAGACATTTTAAAAGTAGTATAGCTCGCTTCTTCTTTTTACAGGTGAGAGAATCCAGGTCCAGACAAGTCATGTGACTTGTTCAAGGTCACAGCACATTTGTGGCAGAGCCGGGTATACAACTCAGAACTCGATTTCCAGCTTGTTGCTTTGTCACACAGAACATGTGACGGGGATTGAAAAAGGAAGGAAAAAAGATTTTGCATCAAACGGGATACAAAGCTGGAATGAGACTAGCTGCATCTAGATGCTAGAAGAGAGTCCTGGAGCTGTAGGAATCCGGGGGTGGCCTGGTGCAGGCAGAGCCCCATGTCTGCTCTGTAATTGGGAGCTTGAGTCCAGCTCATGCTCTGACAGTCCCCACGTGCTTTCAGAAAGTAGGTTTTCTGCCCCAGAAGCCAAGCTCAAGAGGGAGTTCTGCTGGGACAATTCATTCTAAGGAAGAACTTGGCCAAAGGAGAGAGCTAGGAGGAGGAAAAAGTATGTCCTTGATGTTGGAAACCACCAGGAAAGGCATTGAGGACTTTGACCATGCCAGGGAGCTTGCAGTGTGAGATAAAACTGTGTTTGAACCTGAGGTGCGAGCATCATTTTCCTGTGATCCAAATTAAAGCTTTGGAGGATGCTGCTTTTTAGCAAATGTCTGGGAATTATCCATGCCTAAGGAATTGTCTTCAGAGATCCTTACCAGGAACCTAAAGAAGCTCCCCCTCTCCCTCCCCCACCGAGAGAGCCCAGGGAACTCCTGAGGCCAGAGGGTAGGAGGGGAGGCAGAAGTCCATGTGGGTGCCTTTGCGAGGGTGCAGGTGGCTTTCAGATTAGCCTCAGAAACTAAGGACCTATTCATCAAAATCCTCTCTAGCCCACCGATGTTTAAATTACCCTGAATATTTTAAACCTCAGAGCAAAAGAAGTGAAGCAGCCTAATCACTTGGGTGTTGGAAATATAAGGAAAACCAGCCATAATCACCCACCTACCTCCTAATCTCCTACCTTTGGTTCCACTATTAGAGCATACTGACAATTCAGGAGTCTCATTTTTTGGTTTACAGGGAAAGTGATGAGAGTTGAGTTGATCCTGAAAGGAGCAACAAAACAAAGATGTGTTACGTGGTTGCCTAACTCCATGAAGGAGTGCAGCTTTCTGAAGGTGGTTTCCAGTCCTGTCGCCTTTTTTCCCCAAACCAATCGGGAGCAGAGGCTCTCAACAGAATGAGAATCTTCTTACTTTTTTTTTTTTTTAATCTTCAGACTAGAGTTTAAGGTCAGAGTCTCATTATTAGTATTGGCCCAATTATTTATCTTATTTAAGAAAATAGTGTTTAATAGGATAAATAAAAAGATGTCTCTGGCTAGGTTTTGCTCACTCTTGTCAGGACTGCCTCTTATTCTTGCTATATTTTAAGTCAAAACATACTCATTCTCTGAGTCTTAAAGGCAGTATTAATATGATTTCTGTTTCTTTTTTCCTAAGGGGGAAAATAAACTGAAACAAAGTCCTTTTGGGAAAATGCCCATTTAAAAAAAAATTTAGTTGTTTTGGATACATAGTAGGTGTATGTATCTATGGGTTACATGGGATATTTTGATACAGGAACACTATATGTAATAATCACATCAGGGCAAATTGGGTACCCATCACCTCAAGCATTTATCGTTTGTTTAAGCCAGCATCTACTTAACAATTTCTCATCTCCCAAGGCTACATAATTACAGTGAGAACTTTAAGAAATCTATGCTTACGTATGTTCTTTTGGCTTAAATCCCCTTCCTCATTAAAAAGGCAAAGAGGGCACAGCTGTTTGCCTTCAATACTCTCCTCTCTATATCCAACCACATTTAGGGCAGTTTTCCATGGCTTTTAAAATTCCTTTCTCCTTTCAGTTTGCTTCTCTATATCCTGATTGCCATAGAGAAATAAATATGTGGCAGAGTCCTGTGCTTTTGCAATTCCAAGGAAACCTACAGAGCGAGGCTGTGGAAACTGATGTTCCGTTTTACCGGGGCATTATCAAACATGTTGGGTGCAAAAGGGCATCTTTTAGCCTTTTCTTAAATTTGCATGACCTGTATTGTCTATGCAGATTATGAATGAGCCTGAGGAGTCTGCACGTCTAACTTGTCATCATCCCAGAAAAATCAAAGTGTGTAGGTAAAATGAGCACAAGATTTGGAAAAGCGAGGTACTTGGATGCAGGAGAATAAACTCTTAGCCCTTTTGAGCATGAGTTCTTCAGCTGCAGAACAGGATTGAGAATCCTCACCTGAATTTTTGAGGATTCACTCTGAAATGAAAGCTAGCTAGATAAAAGCTCCTTGAAAAGGTAAAGAAAGGTGGTGATTTAAAGCTGGCTGATGCTGAATTATGGAGGAGCTCTTTGGAAATTCTTTTTTATCTATATAAATGACAGAAATTTAGTGTGATCCATGTGGCTAGCACCTGTCACATATCGTCTGCTGGCACTGATGCCTCACATCTTCCTTAATTTTCTGCTTCTTTTTTTCAATTAAAGCCCTCTGTCTACTCTTCAGCCTCTGAATCCTCTCAGCAATTCTTTCCTCTAGTTTTAGTGGATTTCCCAGGGGAGGAGCTCGAGCAACCCAGCAGAATGTGTCTAAGAGTGCTCTGACTCTTCCAGGGAATGATTCCTTATTCCCAAATCTGTTGCTAGAGATAAGCAAGAGATTATACATTCCTGAGACCTGGGCACTACTTGAGTATCTAGGGGAAAATCAAGAATACTAAGGGGAAAAGGAGAAAAGGGCAAGAGCAGCACATTTTATTTGCATCAGGCAAGAGTGGGAAGTTACAGAGAAAACGTTGCCCTTTGACTGCGTGGAGGAAGATGGAAAATCAATATGAAAATGGCACTAGAGAGGCACGGGATTTTCATGGTGTTTTTTTTACTTCAGTTGCTATTATTCAAAGAAGGTCAGTGGATCTCAGACATTTGAAGGTGGCACCTCTCACGTGACAGTAAGAGCCCAGCTGACATAGGCCACTGGCTCCATGGGCCACTACTGGGGTCAGTTTCCTCATCTGGAAAACAAGCGGCTGTCACTACATCTGTGGCTTCCAACTCTCCCCTACTGGGAACAGAGAGCTTCATCAAACCTCAACCCTCTCCCCCCAGCTCCTGTATCTTTTCTCTGGTTATTTTGTCTCTGTCATCTTAGTCTCCTCAGTGCTCCCTGCTACCTGACTGCAGCAGGATGACTTGTCCCACCCATCTGTCCCATGGAGCCAGTCCTGAGCCTAGATAGAGTGGGTCCTCACTTCCATTGTGTGATACAGGCTGTATGTGTGTGTGCATGTGTGTGTTGGGGGAGGCTGAAATGACTTCTTTCCCTAAATGTCTCACCCATGCCAAAAGTTTTCCCATTGATTTTTTATGTTTACCTCTTTATAAGACAGTTTGTTAAAATACCAGAAACTGCGAGAGCAATCATATGGGTGTAATCAGTCATTGACGCTTTCAAGTCTATAAATCTTTCTCTGTAGCAGGTTCTGAGGAGGGTAGGGGGAGATCGAAGGAAAACAACCCCTTCATATTTTAGTCCGAAGCTGTCGTTCATAGGTTATTCATCTGGTGGCCCAGCTGCTGACATAGTGACATGCTTTCATGCCGGTTCTATAGCCAAATTGCAACCATGTGGAAGCTGGAAGCTTCTTGTCATCTCAGAATTGGTCACATCCAGTGGGGTAAAATCTGAAGCCAGAGGGGCAGAACTAAGCTCACAGCATCTGTTTGCTGGGTTTGGGATTAGAAGAATTTTGATTTAAATGTGCACTATCAGTAGTTGCTTGATGAAAACAATACCTAGCATTTTGTTTTTTTTACTATCCCTAAGGCAACTCTGGTCCAATGAAAGTGAGAGTCTAAAAATTCCAGGATTATAGGTAATAGGACCTACCCTTCCATATCTCTGCAGTTTGTGTGAGTAGAACATGATTTTAATTTTCTATTGCCCTCACCCTTGCTCTTATATCCAAATACCCAGTAGCACAATCAGGAGCAAGGGAACTAATTTTCAAATATTAACAAAGTTATTCAAGGGAATGGACTTTCTGTGGCTGCAGTTGGCACGTCTTTTTCAGAAAGCTTGCCTGTGGCTGACAGCCTGCTTGGCACAGTTTCACCGGAGTCCTTTGGTGATGGAGAACAGGGCTGACAGGATTCAAATGGCTAGATTCCAGAGAGGCCAGGGAGGGCCACAGTCTGCAAACCAGGGGAGACTGAGGCCTGAGAAGCGCATCAGCTGATGGATATATTCACTCTAAGAAAGGGAGGAGTAGCCAAAGAGAGTCATTTAGGAGAAGTAGATTGAAAGCAGCTGTTAAAAATCCTGAAATGAGGATATGGAATAGTGCTGGCCACCTCCACACATGCCTGCATGGAAACACTTAATCCAGCAGAGCCAGGCCTATGTGGAGATGCTGAGCCCCAGGCTCCTAGGTGTTAAGCACTTTTCTATCTATAATATGGTGGAAACCACTCTAGACTTTCCAGCACACCCAAAGTAATAGAATTTTAACTGGGAGGGAGTTATCCAACCAGGGACTGGTTTCTGGCTCCTTTTGAAACTTGGTGTGGTTGTATGGCTAAGCTCTCACCAATAGAATGTGAGTGGAAGTGATGTGAATCACTTCCAGACCTGACTGTGAAACTTGGCTCATAGGCTCCTCCATACCACCCCACCTCCATGCCACCTTCCTGTTCGGCTGGAATACCAACCTTGCAGTAACCTTGCGAGCAACGTGCTGAAAATAATAGAACCAGTATCTCCTGGGTTCCTTGAAGAATGCTTGGGGTAGAAGGCCCACCACCTGGCGTGTTCTAGATTATTTACATGAAAGAAAAAACCTTTCTACTCTGCTCAAGGCATTACATTTTGGGTCTTCCCATTGGCACAGTTTAGACCACGTTAACTAATATATACAACAACTGGGTAAAGTAGGTGATGTCATCATTTTATAGCTAGGAACCTGCAGCTCTGGGAATTTAAGAGATTTATTTATTTACCCAATGTCAACATATGAATGTGGAGTCATTATTTGAACTGAAGTCTGTCAGGTTTAAACCTTTATCTCCCAGAAGTTCAGACCTCCAGAGCAAAGAGGTACCAATAGATGACTTGAATGAGAAAGGGATCTCTGATTTGGCTACCGGGTCCACCAACCCAAGCCCAAATTCATACCACCTCTTTCCACGGCTCCAGCTGCTGCACTGCTGAACTTGATCTTCAGGCTAGAAGAATGTGAGAGCTGGCATGGGTCCTAATAATCACCCAGCTCAGTGGTTTTCAAATTTCATTTGGCAACAGACACACTTCTAATGAAATCTAAAACTCAGAAACCCTGTGTGTGAAACAGTCCAATGCAGAACTTGTCTCTTTGAAGTGTGGGCCTGGAACCTGGCCTGTTTTCCACTCACCTCCACAGCCTCTGAGTCCCTCGAAGCAGGTCAGAGAACAACTGATCTGGGTCAGCCCTTCATTTCAGAGGCAAGTAAATAGTGGAGCATGAAGTGTCTTCATCAGGACCACACAGAGGGTAAATGGCAGGGTGGGAACAGGAACCCAGCCTCCTGGCTTTTGAATTTAGGAATCTTTCCATTGTACTGGTGTATTAGAGTTCTCTAGAGAAACAGAACCAATAGGAGATTAGATAGATATAATACAATGAATATACCATAATATACAAATAATAAAGGATTGGCTCACATGAATTTGGAGGCTAAGAAGTTCCATGATATGTCATCTGTAAGCTGGAGGCCCAGGAAAGCTGGTGTCTCCAGTCCAAACCCAAAAGCTTGAGAATCAGGAGTTCTGATGTCCAAGGTCAGGAGAAAGATGGATGTCCCAGCTCAAGCAGCCAACAGATTTGCCCTTCCTCTTCCTTTTAGTTCTATTAAAGTCTGCAATGGATTGAATGAGGCCCACCCACATTGGTGAGGATGATCTTTACTAAGCACATTGATTCAAATGCTAATCTCTTTTGGAAACACCCTCACAGTCATACCCAGAAATAATGTTTTACCAGCTACCTGGGCAACCCTTAGCCTAGTCAAGTTGACACAAAAGATTAACCATCACAACCGGATTTCCTCTTTTGAGATACCAGACCTTAAACCAGCTGCAGATCCAAGAAGCCCAGCAAAGGCAGAATGGCAGAAGGGTCAGAGTTACTTGTTATGTTAACATTTTGATTTCCGTATAACAAATTACTGTTAAGCACATGTTTAATTGAGGAGACAACCCAAGCAGTCTAAGTGTGAGCAACAAGGCTTGTTTATTCACTTGGGTGTGAGCAGGCTGAGTCTGAAAAGAGAGGCAGCATTGAGGAATGAGGCAGACAGGGGTTTATAGGCTGGGGTAGCAAGTGGAAAGTTATGGAAGGTTACAGCTGGGGTTGGTCATTATCGATTTGGAGGGTTGGTTAACTGGCTGGAACAGGAACTTGTTGTTTTTCTTCTTTGCAGTCTTTCTTTTGTTGCTTTGGGCCTCTTTGTTCCAGGGAGCTATCTGGAGGTATAAGTGCCAGTCACAAAGTTCACTTCTGGAGGTGAACATGTTGGTCACAGAGTTCATAATGGCCTGGCAATAATGCAGTCACACTTAGGGAGCCTAACAATTACCACAAACATCATGGCTAAAGCAACACCTACCTATTATGATCTCAGAGGTCTGTAGTCTGGGTGGGCTCATGCTGGGTTCTCTGCTCAGGGTCTCACAGGGCTGAAATCAAGGTGTTGGCTGAGCTAGGCTGTAGTGTGGAGGCTCTGGGAAGAATCCACTTCCAAGCTCATTCAGGTTGTTAGCAGAGCTCAGTTCAGTTCCTTGTGGTTGTAGGACTGCAATTCCTGCTTTTTTGCTGGTTATTGACTCTTGGTCACTCCTGGCTTCTGGAAACTGCCCTCTTGAGGTCATTCCATGTAACTCCCTCCATGCTACCAATAGAGAACCTTTTTCTCATCAAATCCCTCTCATATTTTATTTATCTCTCACTTCTCCTTCTGCCACTAGCTAAAGAAAACTCCCTAGCTTGTTAGGTTACACCCATCTGGACAATCTCCCTATTGCAAAGTCAACTGATTAGTAACCTTAATTACATCTGCAAATCCCTTTTGACATGCAATGTAACATAATCATAGGAATGACATCAGAGGGTGAACGGCATGGGAGCCTGCTTAGAAATCAGCCTACCACATTTGCATAGTTACAACTAACTCTAGAACACATCACCTTCTCTTGGGGACTCTCAGAACAGTGGTAACATGGTTCTCTCTCCTATGACCTCCTAACAGCTTTTGCCAAATTCTCTCTGCTAGCTTCCTGGGTAGGATAAAACAGCCTGATTATGCATCATTTCTAATTTAACCTGGTTTGTGAGGCAAAACAGGTATTAGACTCTGTAGGGTGTGTTCCCAGCCTTAGCCCTCCCTACAGGCTATTTCTGTCCACACATAGGAAGGTAGGAGGCAGGCCTGAAATCCTGGGGCTGTCAGAAAAGGCAGGGGGGTCCCTCTGGTGGCACTCAAAAAATGATGATCAGAACAATATTCTCCCTTTGTAGATGACTCCAGAGGGGAGACAGGATTTAACCAAAGCTGACTAGCAGGACTAGTTGGAGTTCTTAGTTCACTGTTCTTTCTGCTCCTCACAGTCAATACTAGAGTCAGCCGGTTTCTCTGTTGATTCTTTGCCTTGGCTTCTAGGTGATCTCAGAAAAGCCTTCCACAGTGTCTTCAGTTTGTTTCCTGACCCTGGCCCAGCAGGTAGGATTGCTGGCTACATTATCTAGGCCTAGGGAGCATGAGAAATTGCCTAGTTAAAGCGTCATGCTGATGGAGTCTGACAGAGCACCCCGGAGAAGCTGCCTCCCACTAGGTATAGAAGACAATGGAGGTGAGAAGACAGGCAGGGTTTGAAAAGATGTGGAGAGCAGCAGGTGGTATGGCTAAGTTCCCTGGTTTCTGTTTTTTTGGCTTTTGGTTGTGTGTGTGTGTGAAAATGGGTTTGGCTTTGCAATGTGGATCCCAAGGTCAGATCAAGGTCTGTATGTGAGACTGGAGGCGCCAAGGCTTGTGGGGGGTTTCTGGGGGCAGGACCTGAAAAGGCAGGTAGATAAGAGATAGGATATTTTATGCTTTATGGAACATTTGTATATATGTTATCTGATTATTTTTTCAGACGTGAGAATTAAAACAATAAAGGATAAAAGAAATAACGTGACACATAGAGCAGCCAGCTGGTCTTGAGGTTGATGCAGAACCAATTTTTTGAGTAAATCCCACCTCCCTGCATTTCCACTGACCAACTAAGGGGCTGGTTAAGAATCTTTGCAGTTACTTCTATTCCAGTGAGTCCTGGAAAATATATGCTGGCCTCTAGTGAGGGATGCCTGCTACCAGTGATATCCCCGTTTTGCTGGTGAGGAATTTGGTTCTAATAAGTCAGATCTCTCTGGAGATAGAGCCATAAACCACAAGAAGGGGAACACATATAGAGCTTTCCCCGGGGTTCTTGAATTGTGTAAGGTGAGCATTGGCAACACCCTCACCCCACTAAATAGCTCTGCAAGGTCCACATCTCAAACCGTCCCTTCTCCAAAAAGAATGCCTTGGAGGGAAAAGGTGGTGGAGAGGTGGAAATGGGCCAGGACTCTGGGGCAGATGCTGGAGGAGGTGGCTGCGCTAGCAATCTCTCTGAATCAGATGCTCTGAATATTCCTTTGAGTTTGGGTTGCTGGGTGGGGTAGAGATAAAAACAGAATTTACAGGTACAGGTTTGGGAGAGAGTAAGTCACTACAGGATGTCCAGACCTAGGGAGCCTCTTTTTACAACAGAGAAAGTCTCCAGATTTTTGGCTGGAGGCCATCCCAGGCCCACTTTTTTTCTCTCTGAATTCCAGTATCTGGCCACTGGGCTGGCCTTCTGGAGAGGCCTTCTGGCTTGATCCAGACCTAGGGCACCCCAGTCAGAGATAGTGGGAGGTCTCTGGTGTTGTCAGGCATCTTCACTGCCAGCTTCAGTCTTCTCTCCCAGCTCTTCTGTTCCCTTCGAATGGATGCAGTTTACAATGGGCTTATTAGAGTCCTAATTGAATGGTTAACACACCAGCCATTAGCAGCTGCTAATGAGGGAATCCAGGGGATTACAGTATCAATTACCAAGTTTGACTTCTGAATGTGGTTCTGCCAACAGTGGGCTCTTATGAGAGTCTTTAGAAAGCGTGACAGAGAGAGGGAAGAGAGCCATGTGCACCCAGTGTGACTGTGCTCTGCCTGTACCCAAGATAAGCTCTTACAGGTGCCCACATTCATGTGACTGCACAAAACAGGTCCTGGGGCAGTTATGCACCCATGATGGAGACAGCATTCATCCCAAACACCTACACAGCTCTCTCCCAGGTCTTCTCACCCTCCATACAACACATATGCTTCTTTGCCCTACAACTGTTTTCTCCTTCTCTGCTCCACTGCCTTCTATAATCCATGTTAGCTCATCTGTGGCCTTCTTTCACACCTTCAATAAAGATCATTCTCAAGTTTCCCACTGCCCACATCCTATCAGTCACTGAGCCCTTGGAATCCCAACTTTTAAACATCTCTTAATTCCCTCTCTTCCTTTCCCTTCCCTTCTTCCCCTTCCCTTCCCTTATTTTCCCTTCCCTTCCCTTCCCTTTCCTTTCCTTTCTCTATTTCTTCTTACTTCCCTTTCTTTCTTCTTCCTTGCCTTGCCTTTCTTTCCCTTCCCTCTCGCCCTCCTCCCTTCCTCTCTTGCTTCCTTTCTTCTTTACGATTTCCTTAGTTCAAGCTCTTACTGTCACCATGGCAATAGCTCCAGGAGAGTCAGAAACCTGGTCTCTCCATCTCTAGTTCATCTCCTCTCCCATGTCCAAATCATCCTCCATGTCTTTTTAAAAGGTAAATGTGATTGTCACTCCTTAAAGCCCTTCAGTGATCTCTACTGCTCACAGGATAAAGCATAAGTTCCTAAGCATGGCACGATAGGGCGCCCATGATCTCCATCCTCAGTCCATCTCCACCTCATATTCCACCATTCTCTGCATTTCAGACTGAGCTGGAGCCGTAGTGATCTGCCTGTCCCTCTTCCAAAGGTCCAAGCTGTTGGGCACACCCCTCACTTAGCACATGCAGCTATGTCTGCCCACTGTGCCCCTCCCCTCTTCATCTGTGAAACTCCTACTTATCTTTTAAACTTCACGTATGAAGTCTTCCTAACTCATTCCTCTTACTCATGTGCCCTGTATGTATTTCTCTCACTGCACCTATTTATACTAGACTTATATGATTTATTTGTCTCTCTTGCTGTTCTGTGAAGTAATATACGACATCAATGTTTATTTTTGAAAGCCCATTGTCTAGCACACAGTGCCTGGTACATCATACACATTCAATAAGCTACTACTACTGTAGTGTGTGTTTAATTGGTGGATTAGAAAACTGGCGATTGTTTTCACAGCTCATTTCATGGCTCTATATTGACATGTATTTTATTATTCTATGAGGGACTGTTAGTTGTTCACAGTCTAATTCTTTTGGACCCAAAGAGAACTGTAGAGCAATACAGTTCTCTTTGGGTCCATAGAAC